GTTTAGTTTTGGCCTCCTCCTCCTCCTCATCTTCTAAATCTTCAGTTTTGGCCTCCTCCTCCTCCTCATCTTCTAGATCTTCAGTTTTGGCCTCCTCCTCCTGATCATCGTCCAAGTCCATAGTTTTGGCCTCCTCCTTTTCTTCCAAAGCTTCAGTTTTGACTTCCTCTTCCTTCTCCTCATCGTCATCCTCTACAACTTCATCTGTTTTTGGTTCCTCCTGCTTCTCCTCTTTGGTGTCAGCAATCATTGTATTAATGTCCTCTTGCTCTCCTTCATCTTCCCCTGCTTTTAAGTCCTGCTCCTTTTCTCCACCTTCCGCCTCAACAATCTGCTCCTCCTCCTGTGCGTCCTTCTCCTCTGTCTCTTCGTCCTTGTCATCATTATCAATGATGGACTCATCTTCCAGTGGTACTTCATGTTCTGTTTCTTCAAGGTCATCATGTTTCACTAGTGATGTGACAGTAAGAAATTTAGTGCCTATGCCTGTTATTGAATGCGACTATTTAAAAAGACCATGTGAAATACCATCATCGTCCTCTTCCTCGTGCACATCTGTCTCAGTGGCTGCATCAGTGGGAACTTCAGCCTCCTCCTCCTCCTCCTCCTCCTCCTCCTCCTCAGTCTTTGAGTCTCCACCTAACTGTGCAGGAGCAGCTTCATCTTTGGCAGCGTGCATTATCTCTGCAACTGTATGATCAACCTGTGTCATCTCTCTCTTATCTGAAAGTTATATCTTTGGCATTTATCTTGGAAATGCAGATCCAAACTAATTTTAAGGTACAAAGAGAATTTGATGGGGTGAAATGGGAACAACGATGACAGTAACCATTCATAACATCGTACAGTGTACACCACATGCACAAAGAGAGTTCTTTCTCTCCACAGTCACCAAGTGCTTGATGGGACCTGTTGGGTGTCTTTATGTTGTAAGTCCTCGACCTTAACAAGAATGCCAATGTTCCTCATAGTGAAGGAAATCATGTGGGCAGCTGTGGTTCAGGAGGTAGAACCCCTCGTCCACTAGTCTAGTCATTCAGTGGTTTGATTCCTGGTTCCCCATTTCTCATTTGGATGAATCCTAAGACCCTGAACCTTAAATTCAGCATGTCCCATATAGCGGATGTGTGAATTTGTAGTATAAGGCACTTTGAGTGGTTATTAAGACTTGTTCGTTTGAGTCTTTTCATGGGATTTAGAATATTTACACAAATATATTTTTTGATCACTTTTGACATTTTCCGTCCAAATACAACCTCTGAAAATTCTAACACCAGATGAAGTGAGATGTGGTGTAAACCTGTACGAGTTCATGCAAAGGTAAAAATATTTCACACACAGATTACATCCAGTACAAACAATCAAGATACACGCACACCCTGTGTGTTACAGATTTTAAACAGTTGAAATACAGATGTCAGTCGTTCAGTTGTACAGAAGATGCGTGGACAATGCAGGGGAGGGCAGCAGAGGAATGCAACTTCAAAACACACATATTAGACAAATATACATGTGCAATATTACAAATTATTTCCAGTTTTTTAGGCGTAGGACACAAAACACGATGATATGAAAGAAAACAACTTAATGGCAAAACACATAAATTCAGTTCCATGAAACAGTCAGTGAGACAAACTGAGGGAGAGACACAGATGCCGCATAACAACTCGGTTGCATACAGAGATTTATTGAGATAAAAATGTATAGAGGTTATGATGCATGTTTGTTCATGCCATAATATAATGAGCACACATGGAGTTTGAATGGAAGTTATAAAGAACATGACATATTGTAAGACAGACTTGAATCCGGGTCTTGTAAAGTGGTAAGAAAAACAAAAATCATCATGCATGAAAGGCCACACGATAAGACGGAGGGAAGACACAGCAGGTCTATGCACACTATCTGCTGCACATTGTACATTGTACAAAAACACATCTTAAAGTTTCCAATATTTTCTTACCTTTTTTCATAGGTGGCAGGAATTCTCCTACATGTCAAAAATATAATTAACTGGCTTGAATATTAAAATATGATTTGATTTAATAATTCAATAATGTCCAGTACTTACCTTTTCTTCTCACCAAAGTTATATCAGATGGAGAAGCTACAGTTTCATCTAAACAAAGACAAACAGACTTGTGTTAGTGACTGTTAATGGTGAATTAGTGTTAATGAGAATAATGCAAAACAGTAAGAGGTTAATACTATGTTTGTAGATGTATTAATGCTG